AACGCGGTAGCAGAGTATGTGCCAGGTAAACAGTTGGTAGTACCCAATACCCTATCACACAGTCCACTGAGGTCTACAGAAGACATCTCGAGAGAGGTTGACATTTTTGTTGACTGTGTAATGGCTAATAAGCCAATGTCCGACTGTAGGCTACAGAGAATTCGCACAGCCACAGCAGAGAATCCGGTACTACAGAAAGTGGTTAATCTGACCAGGTCTGGATGGCCCGACCGCGAGAAATCAGTGCGCGCTGACCTTCGCATGTATTTCGTGTCGTGCAGTGAATATTTGATGTCACATGGTCTTCTGCTATGTAGAGATAGAATCGTCATGCCAGAAGTGCTGAGAGCAGAGACACTCGAGGCTATACACAGTGGTCACTTGGGGCTGAATAAGTGTCGAGCCCGAGCAAACATGTCAGTTAGGTGGCCTGGGATATCACGCGACATCGATCGTACTGTCCGGCGTCCATGTAAATTATGTAGGGAGCATAGACCCACACAGAGATGCGAACCGCTGAAACCAACCACATTGCCAGATCGTCCGTGGCAGAGGATTGCGGCCGACCTGTGCGAATTGAAGGGCAACCAGTACTTAATAGTCAAGGACTATTATTCGCGATACTTGGAGATCGCTCACCTGGATACGATCAGCAGTGCACAGGTGATAGGCAAGTTGAAGAACATATTCGCCCGATGGGGGGTACCGGAAGTGTTTGTGTCGGATAACGGTGGACAGTTTAAATCGGACATATACAGGTACAACGTCGAACAACTGTGATAACCCGTTCGCACCCATAACCGTTTTACAGTCCCCCGTACTCACGACAAGGGGTTTACCCAGGCTTATAAAGGTGTTTCGCTATATGAAAAGGGCGTGGTATGTCTTCATTGAACCATTCTACATTCTACGTTATCATTCTACACACAGTATTCACAGGGTAGAAAACACAAAGGGAAACGATGAAGGGGAAGTTGTACGCGTGTGGTTCAACGCATATGTCTAATTTATTAATAACATATAGCGGCAGCATTATTATACAAAGACGGAATAAAGAAAACGTAAGATGACAGTTCAGAGCAATAAGAGATAGGATGAAGAGATGGACCGGCTTATTGTCTGAAAGCCGGTGTACACCATACATGCACGCCCAAACTAATAAACACAAGGGCGGCCCTGACACGCCTGTACGCAAAAATAGAGAAAGAGTGTCTGGCATCCGTCTGGGCGTGTGAGAAATTTGACCGATACGTCGTTGGAGTGGAGACGTTCAAGTTGATTACGGACCACAAGCCACTGGTGTCATTAATAAACACGCAGGACTTCGACCGCACACCACTGAGATGTCAACGTTTGTTAATGCGTCTATTGAGATTCAACGCGGTAGCTGAGTATGTGCCAGGTACACAGTTGGTATTACCCGATACCCTATCACGCAGTCCACTGAGGTCTACAGAAGACACCTCGGGAGAGGTTGACATTTTTGTTGACTGTGAAATGGCTAATAAGCCAATGTCCGACTGTAGGCTACAGAGAATTCGCACAGCCACAGCAGAGGATCCGGTACTACAGGAAGTGGTTAATCTGACCCAGATGAGAGACCGGATACCAGAGAAGCGTCGCCTGAGAGGTGTTGATCCTGCCCGCTAAGCGCGAATCTTGCGCGCAGTTCCGCGGCAAGGCGCACGCGACTGCGGGAACGTCCTACGAAAGTATCACGCGCTGGCAGCTTCTGATTTGTGCGCCAAATCGAAAGGCCGACGCACGGATCAATTGCTGCCAGCGAACAGTCTCGAATTTTAGCGGGTCTAATTCACTAGCAAACATATGCACACGCCATCGCGCAGGTCTAATAACGATGTTTCACGTGACGTCATAGATCAGGTCACGTGTATTTGTTATGTGTTGTGGTTGGCAGAAGCGAAGCGTGCTGCTTGACATTTACAGATGAAGGACCACATGTTCTGATAGAAAGCACTGTTTATGTAGTGCACGTACACGTGTGTGCTGCGTGCGTGCGTGTGCACGTACACGTGCGTGCGTGCGTGTGCATGTACACGTGCGTGCATGCGTGCGTGTGTGTGTGCGTGCGTGTGAACTTACACGTGCGTGCGTGCGTGTGTGTGCACGTACACGTGCGTGCGTGCGTGCGTGCGTGTGCACGTACACGTGCGTGCATGAGTGTGTGCGTGCGTGTGCACGTACACCTACACGTGCGTGCGTGCGTGCGTGTGTACGTACACGTGCGTGCGTGCGTGTGAACTTACACGTGCGTGCATGCGTGCGTCCGTGCGTGTGCACGTACACGTGCGTGCGTGCGTGCTGTGCGCGTCGTGTGTGCGCGCGTGTGCAGCCTACACGTTCGTTGCGTGCGCGGTCTCCCGTGGCGTGTCGTTGCGTTGCGTCGTGTGCGTGTGCAGCGTAACGTGGTACACATGTGCGTGTCGTGCGTACGTTGCGTGTGTGTGAGGTACATCGTGTGTGTGCGTGCGTGCATGGCATGTGCACGTTAGACGTGCGTGCGTGTGCACGTACACGTGCGTGCGTGCGTGCGTGCGTGTGCACGTACACGTGCGTGCATGAGTGTGTGCGTGCGTGTGCACGTACACGTGCGTGCGTGCGTGCGTGTGCTTGTATCGAACAATATCACGCATCTGCTTGCTGCCAACCGTTAAACTCCGCATGTGCGCATATGACGTCAATGTTTATAAACATGAAACATCGCTATTGCATGAGAATCACTGAAGAACTGCTCCGTCAATCACGCGAACGCAAGAGAAATTCAACGACGGCGAAATATACAGCTGTGTTACACACACGCAGCTAGGGCCTGCATAGCTCCCAAATCCCATTGGTTAATTCAAATCACGTACCTCAAACTCCTGCTTTATGGTGCATTGTGACCCTAACCCGAACCCTAACCCTATAAAGCAAAAAAATTATTTGTTGTTATTAAATTGTTGTAAATAAATCATGTAAATATGGATAAACATAGAAAAATACAGAAAACAGGAAAATGAAAAAAACAGATGGGATTCGATCCAACGACATTTCAGCCGTGTCATCTCTGCTCTAGGCGTTCAGCTATTGAGGAATTGGGCTTTTATGTTATGGATGTGCCTTGACAACACTGTGGCGTCATTGAGGAGTTTGAGGCACGTAATTTGTATCAACCAATGGGATTTCGAAGGGCCACGTCACCGAGTAAACATCGTGAGTGGCATGCGGTGGGCGTAGTCATTGAGGTAATTAGGGTTATTTAAGTTTTATTATAGTTTTTCGTGCGCTTTTAAATGCCAAATTTGTTTAACGATGCTACGATGACATGCTTACCAGCAAACACTGTGTCAAGTCAGTCACTGTTACCCAGGCGTCCGGGGGCACCACTAGTCGAGCCATTAGAGATGCGCGGAACCAACTTAAGCACGCTTATACTCCGACTATAAAACGTCTGTGGTAGGCAATTAATGCCTCTTATTCGAAGTGAATATGTCTTAAGTTATATCAGCTACTAAAGTTTAACCTCTAATTATCGTTGCAATGGTATACTTGCGGTATTTCGTGTGAACGAACATTCAAAACGGCCATTTCTGGCGGCGCTGCAGCAGCGCCAGTCAGCGAAAACTATGTATTTCCGCACGTGGATTTGGTTGTGGACAAAAACATTGTTGTTGTCAAGTAACAAATTAAGCGATCAAAAAAGATTGTAATATTAGTTTTGTCATGAAAGATGAACAAATTAATATTATTAATTTGTTACTTGACAACAACAATGTTCTTTTCCACAACCAACACAACCCGCCCACCCCTCCACGTGCGGAAATACATAGTTCCCGCTGACTGGCTGGAGTAAGTTGGTCCTGAGCATTCGTAATGGCTGATGTTATAGCTCAGCGGCAGTTAATGTAAGCGGGCTATAGTACTAGAGCTAGCATTCTGCACGACAAAATTCACAGGTTTTGTCTATGGAAGGCTATTAATTAGGCCCTAAAATAACATCAGAATCAAGGGAAAAAATACACGGAGCGGCAGCCGATTTTGCCCCCGAAATGCTAAAAAGAGCCCCCGAAACCATGATATCGGGGGCGACAAGCAACTGGAGATGCTGGTGTTATCGTTGTTAGAGTGGGTTGAACCAGGTGGTGGAGCGGATGAATGGAAGTGATGTGGGAAGGCGAGACGTGATTAACTGGGCGAGACATGTAGGTGGGAACACTGACAATAGAAGAAGCTTGGACAACGACAAGATTATGACGTAGAGGCGGTTTAAGACAAGAACATATACGAGGTGGCAGAGATGTGGTAGAAATGCGTGACAAAGTGGTTAGTTCAATAATATAGATGAAGCGGGCGGGAATCTTGGTTATACAATGGGATCTTAGCACGCAGACCTTTAGCATGCGCCAGCTGGCTGCAATAATTACCCGAACAAAGGCGCGTGGCTTTAGCCAGTAGCGTAATTGTGCGCGCTAGTTCTATATGACAACAAGAAGTAGTCGTATAATTACCGATATTAACAATATTATTATTGACAGTTAAGAGCCCTCGCATAAAATCTAAGTTCATCAAAAGTACTCCATGCAATGTTAAAAAATCACTACCTAGCAATAAACTATGGGCTAAATTCTTAACTATATAAAAGAAATGGGAGGTGTTATGCGTTGCAATTTTACGTGGCAAACGTCGCAGTGCCGATCACAAACAAATGGTGCCCAGATGCGTAACGTGGAATCTGCGTAGAAAAAGAATCGTCAAACGAATTTAGATAAAATGGCTTTAATTGCTGCCATAGGGCAAAATTAATTAGCGACACAGCAGATCCTGTGTCTAATAATGCATTAATACTCATATCACCCAAACGAATAAGACAGGACGGTGTCGTCTTGTTATTTATATCGGGTGTAATAGCAAAAGTGTTAGGGTGAGACTTGATCAGTCGTGCCACCTTCAACGTCTCATTAGCTCACCTTGACATCGTCAAGCTGAGCTATTGCCATGGGTCGTCGTTCGTCGTACGTCCGTCCTTCCGTCAACATCTGGCTACAGTCAACGATAACTCAGGAACCGTTTGACCCACATGTTTAAAATTTGGTATAGTTGTTACTGCTATATGATCTCATATTGAACGTCCTATGTTGGAGCACGCTAGTCGACG